TTGAGAGTGTAGAACCCATCAAACGTAAACAGCCTCTCATGAAATTTCAGGACATCAAGAATAAAGAGGAGAGCCTGGCCGGCGTGGTTCAGTGGTTGAACGTCTACCTAGGAACCAGGAGGTCATGGTTTGATTCCCAGTCAGGGCACATGCCCGGGTTGCAGGCTCAGCCCCAGTGTGAGGCGTGCAGGAGGTAGCCGATCAATGATTCTCATCAATGATCTCTCTCTCTCTCTCTCTCTCTCTCTCTCTCTCTCTCTCTCTCTCTCTCTTCCTTCCTCTCTGAAATCAATAAAAATATATATTTTAAAAAATGAATACAGAGGACAAAAGCTTCTAGAGAGGATAACAAGGAATGAGGAAGTCCTAATTCGATAGCTCAGGATGCAGGAGAACAATGTAGTGACATCTTCAGAATGAAAAAAAAAATTCTTTTGTGAGCCTAGTGTTCCATATTCAGATGAACATTTTCAGAAAGCAAAGATGTAGAGATTTTATCTACTGTTACATTTTCTGAAATTTTTATTTGAGGATGTTCTCTAGATCCAAGAAATTTGGGAGCCCTGATTCTCTCATCTTACACAAGAGGCAACAAGATGTAGAGTCTAAAATTGATGGCAGATCATTTTTAGTGTATAAAGGTAACCAACAGAAGAACTGAAAATAATCATACAAAATTAAAAAACTGAGAGGAAGAGGAAGAAAGAAAAAGGAAGCTGAGAATTGGGTCAATGAGAGCAGAAATATATATACATATTTAATAGATCAAGAAATACAGGTATAAGTATATTAATTGCAGATATGGAGGTAGCCATCAAAATAATTTTAAATGGCCTGGAAAATAGGACTGGGAGATAGTGGAAAATTAACCATTTTAAAGTATGCAATTCAGTGAGAGACTCTTTTCTTTTCTTTTTAAGAGAGTGGAAGGAAACATACCAAAATGTTAATAAGAGCATATCAGAGTGATACAATTACCAATAGATTTTTAGGATGACAAACTTCCGATTTCCCAAACTTTCTACAATAACCATGCATTGTTTTTATAATCAGAAACATATACACACTTTGCTTATTTAGGATCAGGGAAATCTTGCAGTTTAATGATTACCAAGTCCTTAATAGTCTTTGCCCTTGATCTCTAATTTATTGGAGGAACTTCAATTTGAGTTTACTAAACTCAATTCCCTAAGGAGATACACTCACATTAGTATTAAGAAAGGAAGGAGAATGGTTTGGCCATATGTAATATCTCTCCATCTCTTCAGTCCTCCTTTTCCCAGCACTTTCTGAATGACAAGGTACTCTGGTTGAATCTTTTACCCACTACAGAGAATGTCAACTTCCACCACTTCCCTGGCAGACAAATGTCTAACTTCAGTTCCAATATTTCCGTTCATTCTATTATCGGACAGCTATTATTATTAGCAAGTTATTTTGTATATTTAGCCGAAGTTGACTTCCCTGGAACAACTTCCACTCACTTACCTTGATCTTGCTCTCTGAAACTTTTCAGCACAAGCTAGGCAATCTTCTGTGTTATACTTTTGCAAATACTTGAAGATGATTCCCACGTCTCATTGGCTCAACACAAGTTCATTTTTGCTATACATCTTTCTCACACCTCAGCACTTTCCCAACCGCCAGAACCAGATTTCTCTTCTGTTCTAGAACTATGACATCATTCATTCACTCACTCACTCACTCACTCACTCATTTTGTAATTCAATTCATTCAATTAACTATGCATCAAGTCCTTTCCAGGAAGGATGCACCTTTAAACAAATAAATTTCCAGAGTCTCTCACCCGCTTGGTCAAGCAAATGAACTTACTTCAGGTGAGGTAAACACTGCACTAGTGACTAAACAAGAATGGCAGTAACAGCCATTCAGGAAAGTGGGAGAGGAACAAAAAGCCGAAAGGTAGATAGAAAAAGAAGCAGAAAGATAAGATCAAGTGGAGGAGTGAGTTAAGAAGATACTTGTAGAAGAGAAGCTTTATTTTGTGAGGAATTATACTTCTGACTTTTTTCAGAGAAAAACTAATTATTTTGAAATTTTTAAGCGAAAGCTAACCTGTGTCTTCACCCTCAAAATAGAGGACAAAAAAAGTGAAGTATAAATTATAAATGGAGCTCCTAAGACCATGAGCAAGGGCAAGTGGATTATTTGCTACACGGGGAAAAAAAGAAAATACATTGCTTTTCTCTTTCTCCATAGAGATTTGTGTTTATAAAAATTAAACAAAATGTGATATATTCAAACAGTGAACTATTATTCAGCCATAAAATGGAATGAAGTGCTGATAAATGCTACCACATAGATGAACCGTGAAAACCTAGGCAAGTAAAAGAAGCCAATCATAAAAGACCACATAGGATTCCATTTAGATGAAACTAGAGGCCTGGGGCACAAAATTCATGCCTGGGTGGGTCTCCTCAGCCTAGCCTGCACACTCTCCAATCCTCGATCCCTTGGGGGATGTCTGAAACCGTCAGTCGGACATCCGTCTCACAATCCTGGACTGCTGGCTCCTAATCGCTCACCTGCCTTCCTGCCTGGTTGCCCCTAACTGCCCTCTGCTGCTGGCCAGGTCGCCCCCAACTGCCCCCTTTCTGCCAGCCTGGTCGCTCCTAACTGCCCCCCCTGCCGGCCTGGTCACCCCTAACTACCTTCCTCTACTGCTCTGGTTGCCCCTAACTACCTCTCCCTGCCAGCCTGGTCACCCCTAACTGCCCCCCCTGCTGGCCTAGTCACCTCTCATTGCCCCCCCTGCCAGCCTAATCGCTCCCAACTGCCCCCCCTGCTGGACTGGTCACCCCCAACTGCCGTGCCCCCCCCCCCCCGCCGACCTGGTCACCCCACACAGCGTGCTGTTTAGTCGTTTGGTCGCCCCTCACTAACCCCTCTGCCGGCCTGGTCGCCCCACACAGCCTGCTTGTTCAGTCGTTTGGTCGTCCCTCACTAACCCCCCTGCCGGCCTGGTCATAGGCAGCCATCTTGTGAGGGCATGAGGGTTAATTTGCATATTACCTCTTTATTATATAGGAGAATGTCTAACTAGAGACAGAAAATAGATTAGCCGTTACTTAGAGCTAAGGGGGACAAGGAGATGGGGGTTTCTTTTTGAGAGAATGAAAATGTTCTAAAATTGACTGTGGTGATGATTGCACCTATCTGTGATATACTTAAAAAATAGAATTGTATTTAAATGGGAGAATTATATGGTAATGTGAATTATATCTCAAGAAAGTTGTTTTTTAAAACGTTAATTAAAAGCTGTCATTCGGATGGGATACCGATTTACTCACTACCCAGGCTTTCCTTAGATACTCCAGAAAATGGCAGAATCCCCCTAACTTGACTGACGTTTTAGACACCTTTGACAATCCAACAGGGAGTCATGGCCAGCCATGACAGTTACCTCAAGTGCTACGTCAAGACTGAGGCAATTGGTGTAATGGGAACACCTTCAGGAGGAGCCCAAAGCACAAGTCTGGACTCTTGGATAAGGGCTCCATCTGGACACCAATATGAGAGGAGCTTCCACCCCTGGTGGGCTACAAGAACTCAGAGCTCCAACCGCCCCACCCAATAACGGAGCTTGGCTGTGCCATGGGCCGCACTTGGTGCCACCTGGCTTGAGACCAACGCCTGCAGATGCCGTCAGTGACAGATACTTCCCGCCAGTGCTGGCTCTGATGGCTTGTACCCCATCAGTTCCCCCCTCTCTGTGTGCAACCTGCTTGTGACTCTGTTGGCTTACTGGGGAGGTTTCCCCCCATACACCTGGCATTACAGAAAGAGACAAACATGTGATGACCCCTTTCGGGATGCGCCCTTGCTCATGACCAAAAAGCTGGCTCTGGCCAAAAGCTGAGTCATTCCCGAGAGTACCGAAGCATGTTGTTTGATGTTCAGAGTCTAAAGCTCTCTTGCCTCTACAGTGCATTTAATACCAACACCCAACAAATGCCCCATGAGTGCTAGTTCCTATGCTGAGCACTCAAAACAACAGGGCAGACTGTGACCCTGCCCCAGGCTCCCAGACACTGTTCTTTTCCTATCCAGATCCCTCCAAAACTCCCACCAGCCCCATCTTAGAGCATCAGTGCAAATCCCACTTCCTTTGGCCAAGTTCCTTTTTTCTTCTTCTTAGACTGCAGGTAGCCTGAGATCATTGGTGTGCATGCTCATAGCACTCCGAGTCTAATTTGCCTTTCTAAAACCCCGTTGAAAGATCAGGATGGATAGGGGGGAAACCAGTGAAAAGATGGTGGGTTTTCTGAGGTAGCAACCTCCACTGAGGGCCTTTCATTTCCCACAAGAAACTCCCTGCATTCATCAGTGCAGCTGGCTCCTGAGGGGCTCCTCCCTTATTCTTCCCGGGCTCTCTCCTGCCGGCCCTGTCCTTTCCATTATTTCCATACTCAGGCATGTCACTATAAGCACTCACCCTTCCTCCCTCTCTGTGAGTGATCATCTAGATGTATGGAAGACTGGGAGAATGAAAGCCCTATTTCAGATCCAAGTTTGGGGAGATGAGCGATGATGGCTGGATTGCCTGAATCGAGAGGACAGAGGTCACATCATATAGTTCATTTTCACCTCATTGTAGGTGCCAACTGAATTACAGTCTCCTGCTATAGAACAGCTTAAAGATAGGAAGTCCCATGTTCCCTTCTCAAATACTAAAAAGACAATAACTACATATTTTACTGATTTGGTACCCACTATTGGTGTTCAGGGTGTCCGCTCCCCAGAAGATTTCTAAGACACTATTCTTTTGCAAAATTCAAAATCACCTTAACTAAGCAATATAGCAAGGGACCAGGGAGGCATAAGGCAGGTGGAGAGGGACGCTCACAGAACATGTCTCTACCTGAGTCAACAGCACCTGGGAAGGCTGGTTAAAGACAGGGAATGAGACACTTAAACCACCAAGAAAATGTGTCTATGGTGCACCAAGGAATTAGTTAGAAAATACTTGGGTTCCATACCTGCTTCGCAAGGTAGAGTTTGGTTATAGAAGATTTGTTGTTCCTGGATCTGTACACATGGAGAAGTTGCCAAGGGGCCAGGAGCCAAAGGAAGCCCAAGGGAATCCATACCAGAACAGTTTGTTCAAAGCAAAGTGGCAGGTCTGCCTCCGGGCTATCCAGCAATGAGGAATTCTGGGGGACCAAAATGTAAGGATTGTTGGTTACGAGTCTGAAGACAGAAGACCAGCCCTAGCCCACACCCTCTACCCCAACCCATTTCCAAACAATTTTAACTAAGTTATATATCTACATCCAGCCTGACCCTTGTGCTGTATTTTTCTATTCATCTCCATTGATACAAATTCACAATTTAATGACATTTAGTGACTTTCTTGGCCAATGCAACCTTTAAAGACCTTTCTTCCTGTGATTCTCAGTGAATTTTCCCACCAGTCATTGAGTAAACTTCGCCAATGCATTTGCCAAGTTGTGGGAAGAAGAGGGACCTTTCTCCATTCCAAATGGGGAGAATAGTTCCTTGGGATATAAAAAGGTTTTCTTATTCTAGTCTTTAGCACCGAATGAACTCACTGTCAGACACTCAAATATGCAGGCAGGCAGAATGCTTAGTCATGCTATGACATTTAGACTCCAGAGAGCTTCTGTTAGAGCCCAAGGGCTTATGTCAGAAACCCAGGGGGCATCAGCACAGAAGCACAATAAAACTGTTGAACAGAAGGCTTATTCCCAGCAAGTTCTGTACTGGTCTTTGCATTCTGCAATAATGAGAAGTGTCTTGTGAGTTGAGGGTGGGGTGGGGGGGGGGGGGCGCTAGTTCTTATATTTGAGTCATGTGAGAATAGATTTTTCTCTCCCAATAAATATTTTTGAGTTGTTTTGTATGGCTGTTTGAACAGATTCTCTAAAGAAAAGGTTAAGGTGTGCTGATCAAGATGATCTGCCAGATAACTCTTAGAAAGAATTCTCAAGGGTTGGCTATTACGCCCCACCTTCCTGAGGTATATGGTTTCTGGTCTTGGGGCCCACGCTCTTTCTAAGACTGGGAAGTGCTGCCCAGGTGCTCTGCTATCTCACTTCTGCTCTTCTTATCTCTCCATAAGGTTACCTAACTTTAGAATCAAGAAGACTTAGCTAAGATATTTAAACTACTTTAACATTCTAGGTAATTCTGATGATATGCTAGGAGTTTGTAGACCACATTTTCTTAATATTACTAAACCCAAGGTCCCTTCTCATTCCCTCTTCCATTAAACCATTTGTTTTTGTTGCTCACACTGTTTATCTCAAAATTCTCTGCTCTAATATTTCAAAAAATTGTCTCAGTGCTCATGATACCTAGATTTGCATCCTTATCTTCAACTTCCAGTCCACATCACTAATCGCCAGTTACTCTAGTTCATAGCATTATTGTTTCATCACCAGCATATCTCAACAGGACTCAGTCATGGACCTTCTCTTCTTCTTCCTACCCCACAAATTACACAATTCCTACTCTTAACTTTGATGAAATTAGAAGCCATTTCCCTATTTCTCTTTAGAGAGGCAATTTTGAAGATAGCTTGTCCAAGAAAAGAGTCTGGGATATAATAAACATATGTTATAAAATAAATATATTACTCCCCAAATGATGTGGCTCAGTGATTGAGCATCGACCTATGAACCAGGAGGTCACAGTTCGATTCCTGGTCAGGGCACATGCCTGGGTTGCAGGCTCTGTCCCCAGTGTGGGGTGTGCAGGAGGCAGCCGATCAATGATTCTCTCTCATCATTGATGTTTCTATCTCTCTCTCCCTCTTCCTTCCTCTCTGAAATGAATTTTTTAAAAAAGTATTTTTTTTAATTTAAAAATAAGTAAGTAAATATATTACTTCTCCCACATAGAATATCCTCTGACGATATTATGACATTCTTTTATTTAAAAAAAAATACCCTGAGCTTTAGACCAACTGCATATCTAACTTTTCTGGTTCTGCCTTGTGGCCACTCTAGGCTAATCTATTGCTTGTTCTGGTTTGAGAAGAGAATAAGTGTAATTTCTTACCCAAAAAGTAGAGTTGCAGAACTTCTCCAGCATGATTCCTGGAGCTCTTTCGAAATGAAGACTCCTGGATCACTGCTGTTTCTTATTCACTCTTTTGCTCAGAGAAGGTGGAAGGTGAGTAGTGATGTGTCATCTCCCATTCTGATGTTACAACTCAAGGCAATTCTCCTGACCTTTCATCCCAACAATTTAATCGTTAACCTTGCTTGAAGGTATGTTTACATGATCCCAGTGGATAGACACGTGACCGAGAGGACCCGGGGACACAGATTCACCAGTTCACACAAGCACCAGAAGCCTCTGTAGGTGTGGGCATATGCAAAAGGAACTACTGCCCAGCCGGCGTGACCCAGTGGTTGAGCATCGACCTATGAATCAGGGGGTCACGGTTCCATTCCCAATCAGGGCACATGCCCGGGTTGCTGGCTCAACCCCCAGTGTGGCGTGTGCAGGATGCAGCTGATCAATGATTCTCTCTCATCATTGATGCTTCTATCTCTCTCTCCCTCTCCCTTCCTCTCTAAAATCAATAAAAATACATTAAAAAATAAAAGGAACTACTGAAAGATGTTAGCAGAGCTGACTGACAGATCAGGAGTGGAGAAGAATTTACTTCTCCAGAGGACACATGATATAAAGAAAGAAGCATCAATGGAAGGATATGCACCCCTACACGTAGAGTTTCACTTCTGTTTAAGGCCTTAGAGTTCATAGAAGTGTGAAATATCCTACTCCTTTGGATTTTTAATTAAGAACATAGAACTTAACAGATGGTTACAAATCATGTAAACGCTGAAAAAGGTTACAAAATAGCATATTCATATGGAATTTATGCATTTATGCAAAAAAAATGTTAACCTTAGCTGTAGGATCATGGGTGATTTTTATGTTTGCTTGCCTGTATGTTCTGATTTTTCCATAATTATCAGGTTTTATATATGTAATAATATTTTTAAAGCAAATTTTTGTATTGTGGTAAAAAACACAGCACATTACATAAAATTTACCATCCTAACCATTTCCAAGTGTACAGTTCAGTAGTACTAAATATATTCACATTGCTATGCAACCAATCTCCAGAACTTCTTCATCTTGCAAAACTGAAATTCAATACCCATTAGACAACAACTCCTCCTTGCTCTCTTCCCCTAGTAAAACAAGTATTCTTTTAAAATCAGGACATTCTAAATTAGCAGCACACTTGCCAACATATTAAAGGGCAAACACCATCATTTGGAGGATCATGTGAAACCATTTTGGTTGTCAACACACACAAAAAAGCCACTTCTGGGTTCTGTGGGTATATACAGACTGTAGTACCTACAGAGATTAACAAGAAAATAACATATTTTAATGTACACATACATACACATATATTCTAATGTATACTTAATACTGGCCCAAGTATTAAGTAATGTATACTTAATACCTCTGGTTATCTTAAATTCACAAATAACAAAAAATATTTACCACTAGTACCAGTGGCTATGTTCTGGGTTATTAATATTGAAAGATATATAAATGTTATTAGGACATTTATTCAGTTATTGTCCCATAGATGGACTTCCACCCTTTTCTGTGTGCCTAAAACAGGGTTAAAATGATTTAGGATAAAGGCATGATCAGAGTTCACTGGCTTTGGTACAGACCCCTGATCATACCAACAGAAGCAAGCTGGAAAGATGACAATTATAAACGTTTAAAAATCCATCAGTGAAGACAGAAAGAATCCCAAATGAGGCAAAGCGGGGGGGGGGGGGTGATTTGGCCCATAAGCCAAGTCCAGTTTGACCCCTGTTTTCAACTGACCCTTGTTTTTACATTTTTTAACTATAAAACTCAACATGAACAGTCTGTCCATAAGGACTCTTCAATTGGACTCTTGACCCACAAAGCCCCACATATTTACTATATGACCTTTAAAGAATAAGTTTGCTAACCCCTAAACTAAACTCCAGAAATGACAAGACCTTCTAAGATAGAAGAGAGCCAGAGCATCTTTCATCTCTGCCTGAACTAGAGCAGGAGGGGAAGCCTACCACAAGTGGCTCAGGAGAAACCAGCCTAACTTCTAACGAATCTTTCAGGGCCACGTGTGGGGCTGGCAACTAAAAGAGCCCCAGAAATAGTCACACCGCACTGTCCCCAACTCTTTGTCACACTGGTCTTCACCAACTGCTGAGATTCATACTACAAAATGGGAGGGAACAGTTAGGAGAACTGAGAGAAAACTCCCTATGCCCTTGAAGCTTTCACCTCTGGAAGACTTAAAAACAGCTAACAGAAACCCCATCCATGCAATTCCACCTTCACAGAGAGTAAGGCAGCCCATTCATCCTTGGAATGGCTAAGGGAAGCAGCGGGCAGAAGGGGTTGATATCTCCACAACAACCCAGAGAATTTTATCAAGAATTTTCCCACCTAAGACGTACCATCAAAGTATGCAGCATGAAGGGGCACCTTGTCCCAGCTTAGATCCCGCAGGTCCACAGCTCACCTTCCCTGGCTCATCTGGTAAGTGGTACAGATAGTGATTAAGTTTTTGGCTCTTACAAGCCAAGTCATTTTCAGATTTGCATTTATTCAATATTCTTCCCCTCTGGCGTCAGTGATGTAAGATTTTGGTTCTCTGACCATCGGTGGTGATTTCTGCCAGGTGGTTGGCTTTCTTTCTTTTTCTTTCTTTCTTCTTTCTTTCTTTCTTTCTTTCTTTCTTTCTTTCTTTCTTTCTTTCTTTCTTTGTTCTTTCTTTCTTTCTTTCTTTCTTTCTTTATTTATTTATTTCTTCTTTTTTTTTATTGTCTAAAGTTTTCAGGTGGCTTTCAATAAAAATCCATTCGTTGGCAGGTGGCAGATACCAGGAAAAACTAGTTTGTTAACCTTGTTTGTTTTTATCTGTTTGTCTTGAAGATTCTGGTATTTCCTGTTATTTATAATTGCAAGTTTGAGAAGTTACTACCATGTGCTTCTGACCAGTGATAGAATGCACTGTGTACATTTGCTTTGTATGTGCACCCATATGGGTTCCTATTATTCTAAATATCAGAAACTTCTTCCTCCCTCTAAACATCTAGGTTTTTTTCAAGTTTACCTGTTTGTTGTAAATATCTGAAAAATGGAATTCTTATACCAGGGAATGATGAAAATATACAATAGGTCTCTATAGGAACTTTTGACTTTAATAAAGGACAGTATCTTAGGGGAGCCTTAAAACAGACAGGAACAAAATCCATAACAGACAGGGGTCAGCTTTTTTTTTTTTTTTTTTTTTTTCCTTTCTCTGTTTTATTTTTTTTTTATTTTTATTTTTTTAATATATTTTTTATTGATTAAGATATTACATATGTGTCCTTGTCCCCACGTTACCCTCTACCCCCCACCCCCCCCACCCCCGCTCATGCCCTCACCCCCCCGTTGTCCATGTCCATTGGTTAGGCCTATATGCTTGCATATAAGTCCTTTGGTTGATCTTTCCCCCTTACCCCCACCCTCCCCTACCTTCCCTCCAAGTCCCGACAGTCCAATCAATGCCTCTCCGTCTCTGGATCAGTCCTTGTTCATCAGCTTATGTTGTTCATTATATTCCACAAATGAGTGAGATCCTGTGGTATTTATCCGCTCTCAAGTTCCATCCATGCTGTGGCAAATGGTAAGAGTTCCTTTTTCTTCTTCCTCTTCTTAAAGAATACCTTTCAGCATTTCATATAATGCTGGTTTGGTGGTGATGAACTCCTTTAGCTTTTTCTTATCCGTGAAGCTCTTTATCTGACCTTCTATTCTGAATGATAGCTTTGCTGGATAAAGTAATCTTGGTTGCAGGTTCTTGCTATATTCATCACTTTGAATATTTCTTGCCAGTCTCTTCTGGCCTGCATGGTTTCTGTTGAGAAATCAGCTGACAGTCGTATGGGTACTCCCTTGTAGGTAACTGACTGTCTTTCTCTTGCTGCTTTTAAGATTCTCTCTTTATCTTTTGCTCTTGGCATTTTAATTATGATGTGTCTTGGTGTGGTCCTCCTTGGATTCCTTTTGTTTGGGGTTCTCTGCGCTTCCTGGACTTGTAAGTCCATTTCTTTCACCAGGTAGGGGAAGTTTTCTGTCATTATTTCTTCAAAAAGGTTTTCAATATCTTGCCCTCTCTCTCCTTCTGGTACCCCTATAATTCTGATGTTGGTACGCTTGAAGTTGTCCCAGAGGTTCCTTACACTATCTTCATATTTTTGGAATCTCTTTTCTTTTTTCTTTTTCGGTTGGGTATTTTTTGTTTCTTTGTATTTCAAATCTTTGACTTGATTCTTGGGATCCTCTTTTCTGCTGCTGGATCTCTGTAAATTATTCTTTATTTCAGTCAGTGTATGCTTGATTTCTAGTTGGTCCTTTTTCATGTCCTCCATGGTCTCCCTATACTTATTGAGGGATTCATTAAATTTATCGGCGGTTTCCATAAAATTCTTGAAAAACCTTATAACCGTGGCCTTAAACTCTATATCCAATCGTTTGCTTTCCTCCATTTCTGCCATTTGTGACCTGTTTCTTTGTCTCCGCATTTTGGCAGCTTCCCTGTGTTGATAGAGTGGCCCTGTGCGCCAGGTGTCCTGTAGGGCCCAGTAGCTCAGCCTCCCCAGTTACCTGGGGTGGACACTCTTGGTGCACTCTTGGTGCCTTGGTTGTTGTAGAATCACTGGGAGGAATTGACCTCCAGGCCAATTGGCTGTGAGAATCAGCTGTGTCTAAAGTGGGAGAACTTCTGTGCTGAAGACACCCTTCTGGGGCAAGACTTGCTTCAGTGGGGCTTTGGTGCTCACTGAGTCTGCTCCCTGAGTGCGTCCCTTATGGATCTGAGGAGTTGCAGTCTGGATGGTCCCCCTCTGACCACTGGGTACAGTGGCTCCTGGATCTAAGGAGGTGCTAATTCAGCCTCTGCCTGAGGCCACACAGCAGGAGCCACGAAGAGGCTCAGCTGTGAAGCAATGCAAGCCGCTGCGGGGCCTTGGGCCTTCTCTTGGAAGTTCCAGGTCTGCCTGGTTCGGCTGCAGTTAGGTACATTCACATGCAAAAGCCTCTGCCGCAGCCTGGGTGGGGCGGGGTCTCAGGGAGTCAGAGGGCGGAGAAAGCAGCCATGGCCGATTCTCCGCCCGGAGTCGCACGTCTCAGTGTCCCGGTAACGGCTGCAAGCACCTCTGAGGGAAAGCCGCCCTCAAGTTCGCTCGCTGCCGGACAGACCAGCCTCTCCCCGTATGAGTTCTGGGTCCCCAGAGACTTCCCGGAACCGGAGTTCAGAGCAGTCGAGAGCTTGTGACTCAAAAAGTCAGCCGCGTCCTCAGGTGCTACCCCCTTTCCTCGCGCCGGCGCGCCGCCGTACCTCTGCACTTCACCTCCGCAGCGCCTCTGGCTCTCAGCGTGCTTTTCTTTCCTTCTAGTTGTGGACTTTACACTCAGCCAGCCTTCCTGTTGTTCTGGACGATGTTTGCTCAGTCCTTTGCGGTAATTTTCAATTGTTGTGTGAGGCGATAATTTCCCGGTGTTTACCTATGCCGCCATCTTAGTTGCTCTCCAGGGGTCAGCTTTTTTGATTAGCATACTAAAGTCTCTAAATGAACCCAATGAACATCAAGAAAGACAAAAGCATACAGCAAGCAGTGGTCCAATTACTTTCTCATATGATTACGTTTTTTGGGTCTTTTATTTGTTTTTAAGATTTAAAAATTGATTTTTAGAGACATAGGAAAGGAGAGGGAGAGAGAGAAACATCAATGTGAGAGCAGAACATCAATCTACTGCCTCCTGCATGCCTCCTACTGGGTTCGAGCCCACGACTCAGGCAATGTCCCCTGACCAGGAATCAAACCAGCAATCTCCCAGCGCATGGAATGACACCCAACCAACTGAATCACACTGGCCAGGGCTCATATGATCATGTTTTATGACTTATTTACTCCCAAGGTATTTGTCATCCATAATTAGGTCAACTAAATTTTGACAGAAATTTGTAATGTTTACCTTTTAGTTCCTCAATATGTACATTCTAAACTACTCATGTAATCAAATGGTCTTCTCATACTTATCACATAAATGTATGAAAGCATGACTAAAACCTGGATAAAAATAAGGTGCCAAATGTTTGTTAGAGATTGTGATTATTCTCATCCTTGTTGCCTGCTTCCACGGTTAAATATCTGAATGATTAAATGTTATATGGCCATTATCCCCTCAACATCCAACTGATGAGATTTTTTTTCAAAAAGGGAATGAAATCCTCATGTCTGAATCCATTCCTTTAGGAGCTAATTTTGACCAAAGAGGGGAAATGAGAAATTCTGATGAGTGAAATTATTGGCACTGACCTGGCTTACCTGAAGTGGTGATACTAATGGCACATGGGGAGACATTAGACAGCTCTGTCCTCCTTGCTTCAAAGCCAAACTCCAAAGGCTTTATAGAAAATTCACAAATACCTGCAATTGGTTTCCATGATGACCCAGCCAGCATACTCGATATTGGCCTTCCCATACTTTGCCCCCCAGCTAATCAGCTTAATAAAAAAATAAATAAATAAAAATAAAAAAACACCTTATTTTTCCTAATCTGTATACTTTATTTCCTTCCATCTCTTTTATAAGTCAGGCTTTGCCTTTGTGTATTGACAACAGTGTAATAACATCTCCCGCCTGTATAAAAAGCACCTGCATACAGACATCTTCCTAAGTACCGGGACTGCTCTTTGACAGTGGTGGCAATCCTCTACCTCTCTGCTTAACAGGTGGGAGAGGGCCTATTGCCTGGGCTCATCCAGCAAGTAATTGGGACAGCAAATTGGCTATGCTCGGAGATGTGCGTTGGGACTGAAGAGAAGACCTAGTGAGTAGTATGGCATGAGGAGGGTCACTTTCTAAAAATAACATGTAAGTCCCCTGCGATGTCTACCTGCAAATAAGAGGAACAAAAGTAATTGACAGGAATTATAATCATGTGTGGGCACAGGTGTATGTAAGAAATCTCAATGCTCAATTCTGCTGTGAACCTAAAACTGTTCTAAAATATGGTCTATTTAAAAAAAAAAAAAAAAAAAAAGCAAAAAATTAAAAAGCAACGGGCAGGGTTCTCCCAACTGCCCCCATCGCGGGGCGAGCAGCCTGGGCGGTGGGAGACGCAGCAGCGGCCAGGAAGCCCAGGTTCGCCAAGCCACTGACTAGGCACTCCACGGCCCTCAGGCCCCCAGCAGGTGCGGGGCCGCCGCCACGATGCCCAAGAGGAAGGTCAGCTCTGCGGAGGGGGCGGCCAAAGGGGAGCCGAAGAGGAGGTCGGCCAGGTTGTCAGCCAAACCCGCTCCTGCAAAAGTGGAAGCGAAGCCCAAAAAGGCGGCAGGAAAGGGTAAGTCTGCAGGCAAAAAAGTGCAAACGAAAGGGGAAAGGGGAGCAAAGGGAACGCAGGCGGAAGTGGCTGACCAGGAACCTGAAGATCTACCTGCGGAAAACGGAGAAACTGAAAACGAGTCCCACCTCAGATGAAGCAGGAGGAAAAGAAGCCAAGTCTGATTGATGTCATATGCCAGGTCTTATCGGTGGTCCCTGTCTCCCTTCTTGTACAATCCAGAGGAATATTTTTATCAACTATTTTGTAAATGCAAGTTTTTTAGTAGCACTAGAAACATCTTTAAGAAGGAGGGAATTCCACCTCATCCCATTGTTTAAAGTGTAAATGCTTTTTTTAAAGAGGCAAAATCATGTGCTGGTTGTTCATTTTTTGGTACAACCAGAAAATAGTGGGATATTGAATACGGGAGACTTTGATTGTCTTGGGTGTCAGCTTAACATTCCATAGACGGGGCTAGTTTTTACATCCTATAATACAAAGCATACTAAATGGCAGTTTGGAGTCAGTCATGCGTTTGCTATGTCTTGAACATTTTAAATTACTTCTATTCACATGTTTCTGGTAGAATTGTTTCCTAAAGAAAACCACTCCTTGATCTTGGCTCTCCCTGTCAGAATTTTGTGCATCTGAAACATCTTTGGTGTGGCAGTCCAGTTTTCCTAGTAACCTTGTCAATATGCTATGAAAGATTGATTATGTAGTATATATGCTATTAAATTGTGAATAAGTGGGACTTTGATGTAACAGCATATCAACATTTGAAGATATTGGTACTTGATACTCTATTAAGGAAAGTTAGCCTCTAAATTTTAAGCTGGAAAGTCACTGGAATAACTGTTTAGAAAAGAATCACAACTACATGACTTTACATTTTTGGTAGGTATGTTAAGAATTGTGTACAAATTGAAATGTCTGTGTACTGATCCTCAAAACAATAAAATCTCAATTATGAAGGAAAAAAAAAGCAACTGGCAGAACAGTATGTGACTCGATTTTGATATAAATTTTTATACTTATATGTATAGCCTATCCTATCTAATAATAGACAAACATGGCAATTGACCGTACCTTCCTACACCTCCCATTGGCTAATCAGCATGATATGCAAATTAACTGCCAACAAAGATGACGGCTAATTTGCATACTGCAGGCAGGGTGGGACAGCGCGAGCCGCCAGAGCGCTGCCATCCAGGGCAGCCCCTCCCCAGAAGCCCCAGAAGCCACCTGATATGGCAGTAACTCTATCAGTAAGCACTCTGAAAGTCAGTGGCATAAATGCACCAATTAAAAGACAGATTATGAGGGCGAATCAAAAACAAAACCCACTTTAAATATAAAGACACATATAGATTAAAAGTAAATGAATTAAGCTGCAGCCTGTTTTGCTCAGTGGGTAGAGCATTAGCCCGTAGACTGAAGGGTCCCAGGTTTGATTCCAGTCAAGGGCATGTACCTCAGTTGCTGGCTTGATCCCCAGTCCCTATCAAAGCATGTGCAGGAGGCAACCAATCAATGTGTCTCTGTCTTTTTCTTCACTCTCTCTAAAATTCAATGGAAAAATATCCTTGGGTGAAGATTAACAAAAACAAAGTAAATGGATTAAGTAACATTAAAGAGATTATAAGAAAAATATATTCCAAATTTTGTTAGTTGTATAATGGTTGTTTAAATTATTAACACCTAAGAAATTGGGTGAAGGGTACATATAATATGCTGTAGTATTCTATAGTTTTTTTTTACATGTATGAGATTATTTCAAATTAAAATATTAAAAAATTAAAAATTAATAAAATATTAATTAAAATGTATCTGCATTACATGAAAAATCTCCTAATTGCTTCTAGCACAATTTATTAAATTGTGCTAAAATTTACAAGGGTTCAATTAAAAAATATCTTAATTCTAAATGATATAATAGAAAATGTATAATAGTGCAATTATAAGCACTTATCTGAAAATACAAATTTAAAGAAGTGAATTTAAAGAAGGGATTAGCCAAAGAAAATATATGCATAATCCATGGACACAGACAACAGTATGGTGATGGCCAGAGAGAAGTGGGGGGCAAGAGCTGGGAAGAGGGGGCAAGAGGGGGGAAATAGGGACATCCTATATGATAATAATAAAAGGCTAATATGCACATTGACTGAACGGCAGAATGACCGGTTGCTATGATGCACACTGCCACCAGGGGGCAGATGCTCAATGCAGAAGCTGCCCCCTGGTGGTCAGTGCACTTCCATAGGGGGCGTGCCACTCAGCCAGAAGCTGGCTCATGGCTGGCCAGCGCAGTGGTGGTGGCAGGAGCCTCTCCCACCTCCGTGGCAGCACTAAGAATGTCCAACTAACGGTTTAGACCTGACCCCTTGGGGGCCTAAACCTTTAGTCGGACATCCCCCGAGGGCTCCCTGGCTGCCAGAAGGATGTCTGACTGCAAGCTTAGGCCTGATCCCCCGGGGAGTGGGCCTAAGTCGACAGGTGGACATCCCCCAAGGGGTCCTGGACTGTGAATGGGAGCAGGCCGGCTGAGAGATTCCCCACCACCACCCAGTGCACAAATTTTTGTGCACTGGGCCTCTAGTATTCAAATAATATGTATTAATTCAAGCAAGCTGTCAATAGTGATTATTCCATGGGCAATGGAGAGCAGGATCTTTGAACACTTCACTGTTTACATTATACACTGGCAAGGGTGGCATAAATGTCAGAGAAGTTTCTGCAAACCAAAACAGGTTCTGAAAGAACTAATGGAGGTAATTGCAGAACCATTATCTGAAATCTTTTAAATCACTGAGAACAGGAAAAGTATTATAAGACTGAATGAGCAAATGCCTTGATTTTTTAAATATAAAGGTGCTAAAAATCAGGTAAAATCTGACATTAACTACTGGAAAGATCTGGAAAGGTTTGCTAAATGAAGAAAAATTTTGGAGTTTTGAAAGGAAGGTGATCATTAAGAACCAGAATGAGTACTTTAAGAACAAACCAGGCAACCTAATTGAATTATCTTTTTTGATATGATTATTACACTGGCAACTGGTATAAGTGTATCCTGAATTCAGCAAGGCCTTTAGTTGTCTGAAGAAATGTAACCCAAAGAAGACCTCTACACGCATTCCAAAAGGGTCAGTGGTAGCTTCAGCACCTTCAACATTTTTATCAATGGCTGATAGGCATTAAGAGAATTCACATTTACTGGATATCTATTATATGTTAACCTCACATAGGTTTCTTAAATTAAAGAATATATTCCTATGTTTCGCACTCTAAAATTTTTGTCTCATTTAATCTTCCCCATAATCCTTAGAGATAGGTATTTTTATTCCAATTTTACCAGTTAGGAAACTGAGGTTCAGAAAGGTTAAGAAAACTGAACACCGAAGAAAGAATATATATTCTGGGGAGAAGGTCTGATGAGAAGATCTTGAAGATTTTATGATTTAATGAACATAATATTTACACAAAAGACAAACTACTGTAATGATTCCCGTTACCTAAGGATACACCATAGGACTTCTTTAAATCACAAGCTCTCCTAGGGTCCTGAAAATGCAATCTGAATATGTCAAAAATAAGCAAGTTTTCAGGGATGATCCTATTCTATAGGATGAGGTGCTCTGTGAATTCCTTCCTTTTATGTAATGGATATTTAAAGACTGCACTGGGAAAGACCAGAAGATCTACAGGAGTCAGAAAGCCTGGATTCTGGCCTTAGCTCTGCTGGTCTTTATGTAAAATGATTTCTTCCTAAATCTCTTCTTAATGGTTCAATGTGTGTGTGCTATAAGTAATTGATCACATGGAAATAACTCAATAGGAAGAAATGTTCACAATGACTCAGGGGAAAATATGCTGTATCATTTCTACTTAGTAAGCAAATGTTAAGTGAATTTCAATAACTTTGAAAAACCTACAAGAGTTCAATGTTCAAGATAACCACAGAGTTGTAAACTTTTAGTTAATGATTACAAATAGACTTAAAAAGAGTTTCTTTTCTTGTGCAAGATCTTAGAGTAGATATCTAGATTTAAGTGGTAACAATAAAAAGATTATTTTTTCCTTTACATTTTTTTCTCATTAAACTTTGTTTTAATAGGTCTCAAAATTCTATTAAAATTACTGATTTTAAAAACTACAGACTGAAAAAATGCCACACACAAAAACCCCAAAATGGTTCACAAACATTCTCCTTTCCTTCTGAAGGTTTCATGATGCATTATCATCATTAACTAGCCATTTACTATGAAACGTTAATGGCCAACTGAGACAAATGGTTCAGAGACCGTTCTTCCACCACTGATTAAGACTCGGGGGGCAGGTATTGGGTTAATAATGTTCACTTAGCCTTCTGAGCTTTCTGGGCAGACTTGGTGACTTTCCCGGCTCCAGCTGCTTTCTTGTCCACTGCTTTGATGACACCCACAGCAACTGTCTCATGTCACTAACAGCAAAATGGTCCAGCGGAGGGTAATCAGAGAAGCTCTCAACACACATGGGCTTGCCAGAAGCCATATCAACGATGGCGGAATCACTAGATTTCAAAAACTTGAGGCCATCTTCCAGCTTCTTTGCAGAATAATGATCAATCTTCTTCAGCTCAGCAAACTTTAAGCAATATGAGCTGTGAGACAAGCTAGCACAGGTGCACATCTGGCACTGATTTGACCTGGATGGTTCAGGATAATTACATGAGCTGTGAAGCCAGCTGCTTCCATTGGTGGGTCATTTTTGCTGTCACCAGCCACATTGTCATGATGAATACCTTTGACCGACACTGAAGTCCAGATTGTCCCCGGGAAGAGATTCCCTCAAAGCCTAATAGTGCATTTCAGCAGACTTTACTTCAGTTGTAACACTGAAGCTAAGGTGACCTCCATGCCAGATCTGAGAACATCAGTCTACATTTGGCCCATGGGGACAGTACCAGTACCACCAATTTTGTGGACATCCTAGAGCAGTGATGGCGAACCTATGACACGCATGTCAGAGGTGACACGCAAACTCGTTTTTTTGGTTGATTTTTCTTTGTTAACTGGCATTTAAATATATAAAATAAACATCAAAAATATAAGTCTTTGTTTTACTACGGTTGCAAATATCAAAAAATTTCTATATGTGACATCCTTAACAATTTCCTCCTCTCTCTCTGGCTGTGGGTGGCTCAGTGGAATCCATTTTGTTAACACCAACCATTAGTTGTTTCACATCCAGTGTGAAAGCCAGAAGGGCATGCTCATGGCACTCCTTGGAGGCCATGTGAACCCTAAGGTCCACTACCCTGTTGCTATAGCCAAATTAATTGTCATACCAGGAAACGAGTTTGACAGAGTGGGCACTG